TCAACAGCACAGGACACTTCGGCACTCCCTCCTGCTTGCAATGTTCTCTTCAACTCCCACATCCCACAGGCTCTCCTGACTGTCCTCCCGCCTCACTGGCTGCTCCTGCTGGGGGTCTCCTCTGCCACCTGAGCTCCCTCTACCTGGAAAGACAGTTTCCTCCTTGCGTTTCTCTACACTCTCCCACTACCCACCTCACCCACACCCACTATGGGAACAGTGAGGGAAGTAGATAAGGTAGGTATATTTACAATCTTCTAAGTGGGAGAGGCAGAGAGAGCTTAAATTGTATATCAGGCAATTTTCTCTTATTATCATCCTCCACGCGGTGATGTTTGAAGTGAAACATGATAAATTAATGCCATTTGTAAATATGAAATACTCAGTCAACACGCAAATGGACTTGTCTCAACCCGTGTGCTATGGTCTGAGTGTTTGCTGAAATCCTCAGCCCCATGGTGATGGTACTGGAAGACGGCCCTTCAGGAGATGATCAGGTCATGGGGGTGGAGTCCTCATCAATGAGATCCATGCCCTAATAAGACGAGAAAGAGCCTAAAGCTGTCTGTTCTCTGCCATGTCAAGATGTGAACAGAGGCAACAGTGTGACACCAGGAAGCGGGGAGGGCCTCACCAGGAACCCATGAGCACACCTTGATCTCTGACTTCCGGCCTCCAAACCCGTAAGAAATAAATTTCTGTTGCTTACAAATCACCAGGTCTAAGGTATTTTGTTACAGCAGGCTGGATGGACTAAGACATCTCACAAAGTGTCAGCAGGGGTTAGTAGGGGCTCCCACGAGAGAACTCTGTAGAATGTTCCTGCCATTCTTGTCATCTAACTCCCAACAAGCACCTTATGCCAATGCCCTCACCTCTCCTTGGTAGTTACCCAAATCCAAACAACTCACTCCTCTGTTTGTTCAACAAGTAGTTATGAACAGCTATTAGACGTCAGGTACTTGGTAGGTTCTACATACACAGAAGGGAATAAGAACCTAGCGCACTTACATTCAGATGGCGGAACATGGGCAATAAACTAATAAGGCAGGTTCTACTAAGGACATAAATAGGGGCAGCGTAACTGGGTCAGGAAGGGCCTCTCTAAAGAGGTGACCAAATAAAGACATCAGGAAGTGACCAATCCAACTCTGAAAAGAGCCAGGAAGGGGCATTCCAGAAAAAAGAAATGCAATGCCAAGTCTCCCAGGCAGAAGAAAATGGCTCCAACTGAGGAGGAGAAAGAGGGCCGGGCAATGCAAGCACTGGGGAGAGGGTAGGGAGGCAGGCCAACAAGCAGTGAAGGGCTGAGAGGCCAAGGGAGGGATCTGGATTTTATTCAGGTGCTGCAGGAAGTCACCGAAGGATGTGATCACGGGAGGAATACGATCAACTCTAAGATCTGGCTCAACATCTCTCCCTCCTTGACTTCTTCCCAGACATCTCAAAAGAGGTGTCCCAGAACTCTGGCTACCGTGCCTCTCTCCTGGGCTCAAAGCACCTCCACAGGAGGGCGATGCAGCCTGGATGTCAGCATGCTCCCCTATGACCTTCACTGCCTCGCCCAACTCCTCAACTGGCCTAGAACCATCCCTGTCAAGACCCAATTCCAACGTGCCCACCATCCTGGTTACGTCTTGCTGCACAAGAAGGGCAACACTCTCAGGTCATCCCTCACCCCATTCAGGTCTGTGCACCTTTAATCCCATCTCATCTCTTACCCATCTCCAAAAACTAACAGCAAACCTCCCTATGTCCTCACCCTCTTCTCTGAGGATCCTCTCACCTTCCTGCTAGGTTTGAAATTTAGTCTCCAGGGCCAGGGCTCTCCCCTACGAATTCTGCACCACTTGGACAGCAGTGAGCCAGGTGTCTTCCCTCCTCACTGCCACTTCCTGCCCCTTCCTCCTCCCTAGAGACACTTGCTTTCCAAGTCACTCCTCAATAGCCCCCTAGCAACAATCCCCTCTTGCCTGCACCATAATTTTCCCCTTTCCTGGATCATTCCCAAAGCACAGAAACATCCAGTATTTTCCTTGGGAAAATGACATGTTCCCCAACCTCACTGCATCCTTCAACTACCACCCACTTCTTTGCTCCACAGGAAAAATCACTGAGATGGTCATACTGTCTCCATCTTCTTTCTATTCTCCCCTGACTTCAATCAGGCCTCTGTCCCCATCCAGCCACCAAGACTGCTCTCATGGAAGTGACAACTGATAAGAGCAGATTACCTGTGGAGGTTAACTTCTGAAACCCATCAACAGTACTGGGTCCCCTCCCCTTCCTAAAGCACTCTCTTCCCTCACTTTCTGGGGCATCCTTCTCTCTGGGTTCTCCTCCTCCTCCTCTCGCCGATCCTCTCAGCTGCCTTTGCTGGCTGCTGCTCATCCTCTAAACCTCTACACACCAGAGAAAACCAGAGGTGAAACCTTGGATCTCATCTGTTTTCTACTTGACGATCTCCTCTCTCCTATTTCCTCCCACAAACTCTACAGTCTTATGTCCAACTGCTTTCCTGACATCTCCACTTGGATGCTACCTGGATCTCAGACCTCACGTCCACACTGAAAAGATTTTCTTCCCTGAACCTGCTCCTCCCACATTCACTTAATGGCAACTCCACCTCTCCAGACGCCTAGGTCGAACGCATGAGGCATCCTTGCCTCCTCTCACTCACACATCCAATCCGTCAACAGTGAGGCCTGCTGGCTGCACACTCAGACCATTTACAGAATCTGACACTTTTTTGCTTTTTAAACAGGCTTTTTTGCTTTTTAAACCACTTGTATCACTGATTTGAGCCACAGTCATCTCTTGCCAGGACAACTGTACTTGTCTCCAGCCCAGTCTCTGGGCTTCTAACCTTGCCTCTACAGTTTGTTCTCCACAAAGCAGCCAGAGTGATCCTTTAAAATCCAAGTCGGTCACACCACCACTCTGCTCAAAACCCAAAGGCTTCCTATCACACTCAGAGTAAAGCTAAAATCCTTTCTATGGCCTATGAGAAACCCCACAGTTGAAAATCCCCCTTCCTGCCTCACCTTCTCTCCTACAATTGTCCCTCTTCTCTGCCCCGCTGCTAGAGCCCCTCTGGCCTCCTTACTGGCCCTGAACATGCTGACCACACTCCACTAGGGACTCTGTATCTGCTGGGCCCTCTGCCTTGGAGGCTCTTATTCACAGGACGCTCAGACATCCCAGCAGCTCTTCTGAGCTGTGCACACATGGCTCCCTGGCAGGAAGGCCTTATCTAATATGGCAACCTCAGCCTCCTCAATCTGCTCTTTTTCTGTGGCTGTCTGACACATTATACACTAACTTGTCTATTCATTGTTTCCTCCAATTAAAATTTAAGTTCCATGTGAAGGAGGTATTTGCACTGGTCACTTGTTATTAACACGTGCATCTTGAACAATGTCAAACATATGCAGGAACTTGAATGTTTGTTAATGAATGATCACCTCCTCTGAACTCACAGCACTTGTCTACACAGCCAGTCACTCTAATCTTTGATTACTTCTCCACGTATCTTTTCTCCCCTCTAGACAGTGGGTTCAAGATAAGTGATATTACCTTCGCATCTCCAAAGTTTAGAGTAGCACTGTCCAATAGAATTTTCTGCAATGCAAATGTTCTATATCTTCACTGTTCAATACGCTAGCCTTTAACCACATGTGTCTACAGAACATGTGAAATGTGGTTGCTGTGACTAAGGAACTGAATGTTAAATTTTATTTAATTTTAATTAATTTAAATTTAATTGCTCCAGGCACTGTGGCTCAAGCCTGTCATTCCAACACTTTGGGAGGTCAAGGTGGGTGGATCACTTGAGGTCAGGAGTTCGAGACCAGCCGGACCAACATGGTGAAAGCCCCATCTCTATTAAAAATACAAAATAATTAGCAGGGTGTGGTGGCAGGTGCCTGTAATCCCAGCTACTCAGGAGGCTGAGGCAGGAGAATTGCTTGAATCTGGGAGGTAGAGGTTGCAGTGAGTCGAGATCACACCACTGCACTCCAGCCTGGGCGACAAAGCAAGACTCTATCTCAAAAAAACAAAACAAAACAAAAAATTAATTGGCCACATGTGGCTGTGGTAATGTACAGAGTTACAGAGCGCAATGAGAACAGATACTTGTCTTACACTCTCTGAACCCAAAACTCTAGCCCAGAACTCTGCCCACAAGAAGTGCCGAATAAGTATGACAAGGAAGTCAGGAAGAGACAAACAGAAGAGCCTTATGAAATACAATTTTAAATGTCCAACTTCTGTGACAGCGCACAATAATATGCAATATAATCTCAAGCAATAACAAAAATACCTATACCGCAGTTCCTGCTCCACTGCTACTTTGAACCTTCTTACCTTCTCGCTGGTAAGGCGCAGACACAAGGGCTTTTATTAAGAAAGGAAAAAAAATTCTTACCAGGGCTCACTGCCTTAACTGAAAATGTTTAATTCAATATAATTTCACTTATCAATGTCCTGTTTATTTTTCCTCCAGTCTCCCTATTTCCAAAAGACCAACCTCCTACACACACACACACATAGCACCTCCTTTACCTCCAGAGACAAACAGATGCAACAAGCTTTAGGTCTCCGCTCACTGCAGCTCGCAGGATAAATGCCCTGCATAGCTACTTACGCTGCATAGCCGGAGGCCAAACCCCGCACTAGGCTCAGAAAACCAAATAGGGTGTGGGCGCGATGGATTATTTGGGAGAGCGAGGGCAGGCGTTGGTGGGTTCCTGAGAGTCAGAGACCAGATGGAAGAGTTGGAGGGTGGGTCTCAAAGGGGGTTTAAGTAGACCCCATGGAAAACAGGAAGGTTCTCAAATTCTCCCCAGGAAGCAGACAGAGCCCTCCTAAATCAACCGGCCGAGCAGAGGAAGCCCAGACCCCCCGCCTCGCACCCACCCCCACCCGCTCGGCCGGTCCTCACTGCGGCCGGGGCCGGCGGGCAGCCCCGGGACTGGACGAGGGCGCGGGTTTGCTACCTGCGTGGTCAGGCCCTGCTCCTCGTCGTCCTGGCCGCTCAGGACCCGCCGCAGCTTCTCCATGGCCCCGTTCCAGGGCCGTAGCGCCCGGCACTCTGTTGCCGGCCCCTGACGCCCACCAGGAAACCCCGAACCCGAATCCCACAGAGCAGCCGGAAGTCCGGTCCCGCACACTTCCGGCTCGTCAGCGCTGCCAAGGCGGCTGCCGTAGCAATGCGCGCATGCTCACCAGCGTTTCCTTCTGGCCTGGATGTGGTACGTGAAGTCTGCGTAGTGGCAGGTGATGGTGGGGCTGTCCCTTCCCACTGTCCGCGAGGTGCGGGGTGGCAACGCGCGGGGACACAGCGTGGGTATGGGCCCTCTGCCCACAGCTGGCGCACAGTCATGAAGGTAGACCTGACTGGGGCACGACCAGTGAACCCTGCAGACCCGGCGTCCTCCGGACCCCGCGAGGGGCCTTGCTGGGCGGGTCCGCGGCCCCGAACGCGCCTTTCCTCGCCGGGAATCGGGGAGCGGAGGGCTTCTGGGGGCAGGTGGCCGTGCTCCGACGAGCGCCCTGCCACCCACGAGAGGGCTCTGGGGGCGTCGCCAGCCCTCCCAGCTGGGTCTCCTCATCCGGAGACACAAACGCCTGCCTCAGGATTAAAGCGAGGAACTGTATTTCAGACCGTCTCAGGAGAAGTAGCAGGAGGCTGCCTCACTCTTTTGCCCTTGTGAGAGCTGTTTCTTTACTCAGTTCCCTGGTCAGCTAGGAGTTTGTAAGAGTGAAATCTTAGGAATAGCTAATGCAACCCATTTTTCTAGTTTTGCGTAAACAGACCATTGAACAAGTGTTCACTGTTCTCCGGCTGGTGCTGGGTGAACAAACACAGAGGGGGAAGCGGCATTTTTTTCTCTCATTTTCCACCATGCTAAGAAAGGAGATTAAAAATCAGGGCTGCCTAATATGGGCTCCAGAAGTCATTAAGTGATAGGTTTTGCTCTGTTTGCTTCTAGGCTTGGTAAGATGGTAATGAGAATGTCTATTATTTTGTTTAACTACTTTGCCCACTCTATTTCCTCCCTAAAATCTTTCAGTTAAAAAGTGGATCCTCAAAAAGGTTTATTGTCCATCCTACTGCCTCAGTAGAGATTTTATCTAAACTCAATTAGATGAAAACAAATACCACAGGAACCTTAGGAAAGCAAGTCGCGCCTTCTTGTGATAAATTCTTAATGCTCAGCATCCTTATCCTTTAGGCAGAAGATACTTCTATGTGGCCTATTCATACTAACATGTCAAGTCTTAGCCTTACGTCCTTAACTTTAAAAGGTCAGAAAGTAGATTGTAAAATCTATAGAAAACTCTATGCTTCTACTGAATAAGTCATAGAGTATATCTGTTACAGGAAAGGGGTCCAGATCCATACCCCAAAAGAGGGTTCTTGGATCTTAAGCAAGAAAATATTCAGGGCAAGTGAAAGCAAGTTTATTAAGAAAGTAGAGGAACATCGGGAGGCTGAGGCAGAGAATTGCTTGAACCCGGGAGGCAGAGCTTGCAGTGAACCGAGATTGCGCCGCTGCACTCCAACGGGGAGACAGAGTGAGACTCTGTCTCAAAAAAAAAAAAAAAAGTGGAGAAACAAAATAGCTACTCCACAGGCAGAGCAAGGCTGTCTATTACCAGGGCTGCTGGTTGCCTATTTTTATGGTTATTTCTTGATGATATGCTAAACAAGGGGCAGATTATTCATGCCTCCCCTTTTTAGACCATGCAGGGTAACTGCTTGATGTTGCCATGGCATTTGTAAACTGCCATGGCGCTAGTGGGCGTGTAGCAGTGAGAACTCGACCAGAGGTCTCTCTCGTTATCTTGGTTTTGGTGGGGTTTGGCCAGTTTCTTTACTGCAACCTCTTTCATCGGCAAGGTCTTTATGAGCTGTATCTTGTGCTGACCTCCTATCTTATCCTGTGTCTTAGAATGCCTTAACTGTCTGGGAATGCAGCTCAGTAGGTCTCAACCTCATTTTACCCAGCCGCTATTCAGGATGGGGTGCTCTGGTTAGCACGTCTAACATAACTGCTTTCAAGATTTTCAAGTATAGGCAGGGGACGGTGGCTCATTCCTGTAATCCCAGCACTTTGGGAGGCAAAGATGGGTGGATCACAAGGTCAGGAGTTTGAGACCAGCCTGGCCAATATGGTGAAACCCCACCTCTACCAAAAACACAAAAACTAGATGGTTGTGGTGGCGGGTGCCTGTAGTCTCAGCTACTCGGGGAGCTGACAGGAGAATCCCTTAGAACCCGGGAGGTGGAGGTTGCAGTGAGCCGAGATCGCTCCATTGCACTCCATCCTGGGCGACAGAGTAAGACTGTGTCTCAAAAAACAAACAAAAAACCTTACTTCCTAGCGTTTCCTGCTTCCTGGCCACAGTTTTTTCAAGAGCCAATGACTCTCCTGAACACAAGGCAGCCCAGGGACAAAATTGTTGGGGTGATCAGACCCAACACAAGGTCGTGGAGGTGACAAAGTCCGGTGGAGTCAAAGGACTGAGAAAAAGTTTGAGAGAGAAATGTGGGACGATGGGGACCATCACTACCGTGGAGGCTGCAAAGACCCCCGAGGCTCTAGGAACCCACAGTATTTATTGGTCATCCAATAAAGAAACAGGTGGTGAGAATGTGGCGGGCAAAAGGACAAGTTGCATTAAGCACCTGATTTACAGCTGTGATGGGTTACCTTTTATATGGAACATGTTCTGCTACTTGAGATAATGGGAATGGGGCCTAGGAGCCTAGGAAGGCTAGACACATTCCAACGGACATTATGCAAGTCCTGCCTCGGTTTCCCTCCCAAAACACTGCTTTTTCCCAACATGCCCCCCCTTCTCTTTATTGTAAAAGAGAAGGTATCATTATTGCTAGCTGTCATTATTACTAGAGTCACTCTGGTTTGAACGCTTCCAACATATCTCCCCTTTCCCTTTTACAAGAGGACCCTTAATCCTAGAGGTAGCGAAAGGATGAGGGTCCATCTTCTGTAACTTCTTCATGCTGAATGGGGGTGATGATACTCCTGCCTTAACTATTAGGGTCTCTTGTATTCAGCGTAGAGAGTAGCTGAGTCAGAAAGCATTAGTCCTTTAAGCATCGTAACTCGGTGGGTCCTCGTTCCATCTTTGCATTCAAATTCAACTGGCTCATGGCTTGTACTGGGAAATCCATGGGTCCCTCCAGTCTCCCGTTCCATGGCCGTACACATCTTGAGGGCATCCACACGGTTCGTTCATCTGCAAAATCAGAAGCATACCTCACCCCTACGTTAGTAAATCTACTGAAACAGAAGCAAAAACTTTTGTGGCTGTAGCTGGGAGGCCACCGATAATGAGAAACAGGCCTTTTCTGATTAACAGAAGGCATAGAGAAATCAAATCGAGGCTTTTCAAACCTTCAATTCGCGCTGTACAGAGGGGTCCACTAGATGCTATGGCTGATAGATCTTTAGATGTTTGGTGGGCACCCACATAGGCACCTGATTGTCAGCTGGAGAGACACAAGTAAATCGTCTTCCCCATAAAATTATCTTTAGGCAGGGATCGGAGGAAGTAGATTCAGAGGTAAGGAGAATTTGGGGGGCCTGTTGGCTTCCTGATGTTTGATTCGTGTTCCCTCAGAAGTTAGGAATTCCCCTTCTCTCCGTATTGCTGTGTGGGCATGGACGACTAGATAAGTATACTTAGAGTCTGTATATATATTTACCTTTTTTCCTTCTAATTCTAGTGTACAATGGCCCCTGCTTTTGCTAGGATGTCTGTGCCTAACAAAGGAGTGGGGCTTTCAGGCATAATTAGAAAGGCATGTGAGAAGAGTCAAGTTCCCCAGTCACAACTTAGTGGCTGGGAGAAGTATCTAGTGACCGCCTGTCCTAGGACCCCTCGGAGAGTGGCAGATCTGGAGGACAGTTGTCCAGGACAGGAGAGTAAGACTGAGAAGGCCGCTTCAGTGTCCAGGAGACAGTTAACCTCCTGGCCCTCAATGGTCAAGCATACTCGGGGCTCTGTGAGGGTGATGGCATGGGCTGGCGCTTGCCCCAGGCTCCCTCAATTCTGCTGCTGGATCATCTGGTTAGTGGCTTCTGACTCAGAGGACCTTTGTCCCCCACGGCAGTGGGCCTTCCAGTGATTCCCTTGACATAAGGGGCATGGATGAGGGGGCGGCTAATTTCTATTCGGACAGTCTTTTGAAAGTGTCCTTGTAGAACGCACTGGAAGCAAGCCCTATTAGGCATTTGATTTTCCCAGCCTTTCCCTTTTCCAGAGCATCCAAAGTCCGCTTGCCTGAGGGCCATGACTAAAGTGGTGGCCTTTTTTTTTCAATCCTGTTTGTCCCATTCCACCTGCTCTTCCTGATCTCTAGTATAAAAAAACCGAGGTTGCCAAGTTCAATAGCGTTTTTAAGTTTTGCTCCGGGCCTAAGGCAGGCTTGTGAAGTTTTTTCTAATGTCTGCAGCTGACTGAGTGATAAACCTATCCTTTAAGATTAGTTGACCTTCAGTAGAGTCAGGTGACAGAGAGGTGTGCTTCCTCAATGCCTCCCTTTGTCTCTCCAGAAAGGCAGTACAATTTTCTTCCTTTCCCTGTGTTATAGTGGACATCACTGAATAATTCATAGGCTTCTTCTTGGTTTTCCTGTGTCCTTCTAGCACACAAGTTAGCAAATGTCTGTGGCACCAATCTGCATGTTCTGATTCTGTGTCCCAATGAGGGTCTACACTGGGAACTCCTTGCTGGCCTGTGGGTGGGAATCGTTCTCTTTCCTCTGTTGTCATCCTGTCATTGACCTGACTGAGATACCAGAGATCGCCAAACTCTTGGGCTGCAGTTATGGCGGCGCTTCTCTCATTTGGGGTTAGTGTCTGATCTAGCAGTAACGTTATATCTCTCCATGTCAGATCAAAGGATTGTCCTAATCCTCGTGAAACATCAATACAGCCATCAGGGTTATCTGAGAATTTACCTAGGTCTATTTTAATTTGTTTCCAGTCTGAGAAGGAAAAAGGTACATATACTCTGACTGGGCCGACTTCTCCAGAATATATCTTAGGGGTGTTTTTGCCCTGAGGGGAACGTTTCCCATCTCAAAAAAAAAAAAAAAAATAAGGATGCCAGCACCCCTAGTAATTTAACGATGAGCGTTAGTC